GTGCTTGAGAGGCAGGCAGCAGCACCACTGAGCTAAATCCCCAGCCCCACTGAGTTAGTTTTTTTTTTTTTAATAACTTTTGTCTTATTTTATTCCATTCCCCTCCTCAAGCCCATTCCCTTCCCTATGTACAAAAGCTTTGTTTAAATTTTTTCCTTCTGTTTTCACTTTTTTTCTTGTCCCTTCCTTCCTTTCTCCCTCTGAGTTAGTTAAAAAAAAAAAAAAACAGAAGGAAAGTGTTGTACCAAGGAGACATCAGTGTGGACTTCAAGGAATCCTGCTTTCTCTACCATGAAACCTGCTCAAAGGACAGATGTGCAGAGTTTAAGAACAACAGAGCACAGGGCCAAGGAATTGTGTTGTAGCTGCAAGTGACAAAAGAGGTAAACAGGAACTGTCCTGACCTTCCTTTCTCCCTTCTTCTCTTCCCTTTTTTCCTTCCTTCCTTCCTGACTGGCACTGGGAATCGAACCCAGGGCCTTCTTACTAAGCTACATCCCCAGTCCTTTTTAATTTTTTTTTCTTTTTAGAGATCTTACTAAGTTGCTAAATTGCGCACTATAGGCTCAAACTTGAGATTTTCCAGCTTTAGCCCCTAATAACCCCACCCCTCGACACACCCCTGTGGTACTAGAGGTTGAACCTGGGGTCTTTGCAATGAATTATATTTTCAGCCTTTTTTATATTTTTTATTTTGAGGCAGGGTCTTGCTAACTTGCTGAGTGTGCCAGGCTGGGTTCAAACTCTCCATCCTCATGCCTCAGCTTCCCAAGAGTGCTAGGATTACAGGTGTGTGTTGCCACACTCAGCGAGCCCCTGAAAATTCTGCAACCCTACTGTGAGTGAGTGAGGCAGCTGGTTTATAGGGTAACCCTACTGCAGATGTGGCTCAGAGAATGGAGGGACTGTCTCAGCCATGTAACCAGGAAGTGTCCAAGTCTAGTTTCCAACTTGGCTGTGCCCTAAGTATTCAGGCTCTGGCCTGAGATAAGACAGCCCTACCTCAGGCCTGCAGAGATGTCCAGGGGCCTGATGTTCTGAGACATCACATCATCTTCCTGGCTCATCAAACCCAGTGCCAACTGTGGTGCTATGTCTGTGGCTAAATACTCTCGTGTGTGGTGTGGGTGGAGAACAGGGGATATATAACAAACCCACAGAGACTAGGTGACAGAGGTGGGCCTGCACAGCTAATGTCCAATCTGGCTGTGACGTGTCACTCCACTGATCACCAGGGTTGACGGTTCTGATAGGGCTGGCCAGGCAGGTATCCCCTTCCTTCCTCATCCCTCCACGTGCGTCCCTCCCAAAGTTGCACGCTTTGTAGACAGGATGACCACCCCTGACAGAGGAGGACCATTTCCTTGGTCAAGGTTATACAAGTAGCTGCACTTCCCTGCTAGGACGTCCGAACAAGCTCTCAAATGGTGGTGGGATTGGGACTGTCTTACCTTTCCCCATGGAACTCTCTGATCCACATGGACTGCTTTACATAGGGTATAACCGTATCCCCTTGAAATACCAGGGGGCCCCTCTGTGACGCATGGCTTGAGCCAGACATGGAGGTGGGCAGAGACACTGGCCCAACCTGGGGTTCCAGCTCTGACCTCAGGTCCACGATGCCAAAGGCCTCCTGGCCAGCACTTACCCGAAGTGAAGGCAGACTGGACAGCTCTCCGTGAAGTGTGGTCAAGTTGTTGTGACTCACAGACAAGTGCTCCTGGGCCAGGACAAGGGGGGAAAAGCTCAGAGCAGAGCAGAGGGTGGGTGAGGTATCCAGAGTCCCTGTCTGCCCTTGAAACTACCCAGGAGGATCTGCCAGCCCAAAGCACTTCCCTCCCTCACACACCTGGCCCTTTTGCACACCTCCCAGGATGGAGTGCTTACTATGTCTCGGCCAGTTTCACTCACAGCTACCTGTGTTCTTCCTCTGGGTACTGTGCCTTCCCTGCAGGCCCTGTGCACCTCGCCCAGCTCCATGCATACGGCGGGCCCTCCCTGACTACCCAAAGCCACTTACCAGCTTCTGTAGGGCGGCCAGCTCTTCCGGCAGGTAACAGAGGCCTGTGCGGTTCAGTTTCAGCCATCGCAGGCTGGTCATGGCCTTGACATTCTCAGGGAAGTAGCCACCCTGGTGGGAGCACATCACCGGTGAGCTGGCTGAGTGAAGAGTGCCCCTGCCCCGCTGTGTGCCCCCATGCCCAGCTGTGAAAAACAGCCAACTCACCAACTGTGAGACCCTGGACAAGTCACTGCGTCACTCTGTCTCAATTTCTTCATCCGTAAAATGGGGTTAATAAAAGCCCCCAGGGACAACATGTTGGCCTACGGTTTGTCTCTGCTGCTGGCCTCTAAGCCCCAGGAAGGCCAGGATGAAACTGGCTTATTTCCACACCCCAGCAAACCACTTTGTATTTAGCTTTGCTCCTACTCCTAACTGGGCCGCCTGGGGTCTCGGCAACTGCCAAGGCCTCACTGTGCCCCTAAGGCAGCAGGAGCTTATCAGCCTTTCCTGACCAGGCCCAGACCATAGCTGTGCTGAGGGCCCAGCTTTCCACCCTGCGCAGGTATTACCTCATTCATTCACTACTTCTCCATATTCCAAAGCCCCCCAGGCCCCTGTGTCACCAAGACCAGTTTGAGGGTACGCATCCCTTCAGTGCCTTTGGTTCTCTCCCCTCCACCTAGAGTCACATTCTCAGCAGGTGACTCAGACTTTCCTGGTCCAGAAAAATTACAGGAGAGACCCCACGTAAGGACAATGAGGAGGGGTCAGAGAGAAACCATGTGGGCAGAAGCAAGAAAGCCTGCCTTCTCCCTAGCCCCAGGCCGACCCCTAAACGGACTGGTCACCTATCACCCCCTGAGCCCTTCTTGGCCCTCCAGGCCAGCTCCCCTCCCCTTCCCTGCTGGCCCTCAGGTCCTGCTGCTGACCCCACGTCATTCTTCATTCCCTAGAACCACTTTCTCTCCAACTGGATTGGGCGGGACCTGGACTCCTGCTCCCCAGATCTGTCAGTCCAGCAGCTGCTCAGACAACTGTCACCCAGGAACTTGCCTAACACTCTCCACACCAACAGATCTTGCTACATTCCAGGCACCCAAACGGTTTACTTTCGAGCCTTTCATCGGATGAGAAAACCCAGGTCTGAGAAGGGAAGCGTCTCGCCCAAGACCGCACGGGAAGCGGGGGGGTGATGGGGGGTGGAGACAGCGCCGGGCTGAGTCGGCTCCGGGCCGGCCTGAGTCAGGGATGGCTCTGGCGTGTGACCTCAGAAGGATGGGAGCACAGGCGCGCCGACCCTGGGGCAGGGGACCGGCCCGGGAG